ATTACATTCCGCTGTTATAATAATAAATATTATGCTCTGATGTTGTATTAAAAGTGATATAAGACATGGTTAAGAATGATGTCAGCTTATTTTTCTCATTTGTAATCCTGATGGAAAAATATGGATTTTCGGGTTCTCCCTTGGGGTGTGTCCGACGGGACCGCGTAATTTGTGTTCTCCCTTGGGTGCTTAATGTCTAATGAAAGACGAGCACTCCTGAGAGACATTAGGTTAGACGGTTCTGCCACAGTAACTAGTTTACTTTTGTAGTAAATTAGTTGCCTTGCTTGGTTTATGTAGCAAGTAAATTAAGCTCTCTAATTTGGCTTGTGTAGCCTTGTTATTGAGCATTGCAAGTGAGCTTAGGAGCTTTGTGCTTTTGCTATTAGCATGTATAGGAGCTCCCCGATGCTTGAAGTACTAGTGGCATAGTTTTGTGCGACCTTGCTGCTAGAATTGGTTAGGTGAGCTTTAGCTAGCCCGACACTTTAATTGCTTGTTTATGGTCTTTTTAAGGTGCTTGATAACTTAGATATAGAGGTGTAGTCTTGGTAGACCGATATATTTAATTTTGCATTTGTGTCGGTTAGTCGATGCGATTAATTTTAAAAAGAGCTACTCACTTCCCTCTAGTCCGCCGTCTCGATTCTACAACGCGAAGAAGTAGCGCTCCCAAAAATTTGATCGTGAGGCTACTCGTGATGGAGTTTCATAGGCCTACTTGTCTATGAAACTGATTACTACCAAGAAAAAGATGTCTCTCTTATAATCACCATGAGAAGGGAGGGGATGAAGCGAGACACTTGCGGAGTAGTGATGTCAGAAAAATATAGCGTCTGTTTCTAATAAATGGCAGCATTAATTTATCCTTTTTCATTTCATTATCAATGAACATTAACTAGACATCATTTCAAGATGATGCAAAAATAGGCAACCCCCGCGACACATCTCGCCCGACTCGCGTCATGATATGATTCGGCACTTGGCGCTTGCTGATTAGTACTCGGCAAGTCGGCATCATAGTTTTAGGATCGGATCGGACATCGAATCGAGGAGGTAATCGGTTCGCTGGTTTATTGGTATGTTCCCATCACTCGACTCTTGAGTGGAGACTGGAGAGAGGGCATCCAGCAAACTATTGTACGACGGCCAGGACTCCGGATGAGCACATGCACGTTGTCGTGTGGGCCTGGTAGGCAGGAGCGCACCGCCAGGGACTGCAAGCAATGGGCACATGGCACATGCGGTCTTATGTCTTCGGGTATGTTCGCTGGTTGGTGCTGGTGCTGGTTTGGACTGGTTGGTGCTGGTTTTTTGTGAGAGAAAAATACTGTTGGTTGACTGGTTTGGGCTGGCTGAAACCAACAAGCGAACAGACTGGAATGATATTGCTACCACCAGCAGTCAGCAGTCCAGGATCTAGTGGCCCTAGTGGATCATATAGAGACACTGGGTCACTGGAAGTTTCTCTGTTTTGTAAAATATATATTAGTATTGAAAATCGAAACCCTAGGAAGAACGCAACGCAACGCAACGCAACAGTAGTGTTTGTCTGTATATAGACATCGTCCTGGGTCTTGGCATTTCATCTTATACAATACACACACACACACACTAATATGCAGCTTTGGTTCCACAAATAAGTACAGCATGCATACAAGTTGGTTCGCGGATGCAGTTGGGCGACACAAGTGGCTGCCGTCCCAATTACTATTCTGTTAAGTGAAAATGATATAACAAAGATGAACGACGGCGCTCCTTACTTTTGCTCGTGAGGTTTCATCATTGTACAGTCAAGTCTCTGTTTGTGTTCTCACAGCAACTATATGTGCGCGCGATGATTGCGTGTTCTTTGGTGACGACGGTTAATACACATGAGGACTGTGGAGACGTCGAAAACCACATGGACACATGGTATGGTGTGGCCTCATGACAGACATGCGACTTGACTTTGGTAGGTCGGCTCATCGTATACTGAATCGATCTTGAACTCCAAGCGTGTTCTATATCGTACAACCACCGGACCCGGCCTGAACATGCGTTACATGTGTTATTACTTGGTCGGCGAGACGGCTACGACCACAAAGTACCACGTGTTCACGAGTCACGACCTAGGCGGCCGGGCAAATGCACAAGCTGGTCCTGCCTCCTACGAGCTACGACCATTGTTCTAATGCAGTCGTGAAACAGGACGAGGAGCGCGGCTATAGATGGCCATCGGGCCGGCGGTCAGGCCGGCACGGCACGTCGTGCCTCCCGGGCCGTGCCGAGCTGGGCTTCGTGCCTGAACAACGGCCCAGGCACGGCCTATCGGGCTGTTTTTCGCCGGTCGGCCCGAGAAGCACGGCCCATCTGGCGTGCCGTGCCCGCCCGAGGCCCACGAGGGAGCGCCGCCGTCGGAGGAAGTCGATGTTGCGGCCGTAGCGCTGTGACGGAGTCGGAGAGGGAGCGCCTCCGCGCGGTGCCTCCAGGCGCGACCTCCACGCACTCGCCGAGGCAGGAGCCAGGAGGGGGCCGCCGCCGCCGCCGCGCTTTTCTCCCACGCGCTCGCCGAGGCTCGGGACTCAAGGTCGTCGGAACCGCACGGCCGGAGGCACTCGACGCCGGATCTGCATGGTTGGCGGGCTGATGGAGCATTGGAGTGGAGGAGGGAGTTCACGTGGAGGCGGGCAGCTGTAGGGCGGAGACGGAGCATCTGCGCCTTCGCTCGTGAGTCGCGAGTGGGAAGGAACGCGATGCCCCGATGCGGATGTGGAAGTTGGGTGGCGGTGCGTGTGCGGCGGGATGGATGGCCGAGTAGTTTGGGGAAGCAGCTAAGGTTGAGTGTTGGGCCTTATCTTTTGTTGTCATGTTAGTCTATTACCGGGCGAGGGTATTCTTCAGGCCGTGCCGTGCCGCCCGGTGTGCCTGAGGAGCGGCCCAAGCATGGCCCTATATATCGGGCCGTGCAACTCATCGCCGGGTCAAAATGTCGTGCTTCGGGCCAGGCTGCCGTGCCTCGGGCTGCATGGCCAACTATAAGCGCGGCTTGGAGCGCTACCGCCATGCCGAGCGTCGTCGTTTGTTTTTTTAGCACTATCCCTCCTAATTTATTCGTGGTTCACATGAAAGGAGAGATACAAACGTCAGACGGTGCAACAAGAAAATGACTCCCTATTGACTGAGACAACAACTCCTCGCCACCATATGGGCGTCGATATTTGAGCGACGTCCCTCATGTACAATATCCACCGAATTGAAGATCTCCATCCTCGACTTTATTTCTCAAATTATCTGGCCATAAGACCCCATGCCATCTCCTCAGATGTTTTTAACCACGTTCGCACAGTCGGTCATCATTCTGAATTTTTGTAGCCCAAGATCCTCAGTCGCAAGCACCAACCCTTCACGCGACAAGCTAGAGCTTCCATTTGTTCCGGATCCGATATTCCTATCATCACGACAGCTGAGGCTCCTCCAAAGACGCCGTTCTCATCTCTGGCTACTGCAGCAACAGCGTCGTCGTTTGTTGAGCGTGGCCACGTCGATTGTGAATTTGCTTTGGTATGGGCTGGACGTGGATACAGATCCTGGCCCAAACAAGGTCCAGGTAAATACTAGTAATTAATAAATAGGAAATTGCTTTGGAATACGTGCAAATTTTCAAGAGAGGAGTACCAGTGCAATTCTAATTTTCCAATTGTCTTACTCTGTTTTTTATAGTAATAGATAGATAGCTAGATAGGGGGAAAAATAGTCTCTAGTCTTTGCACAAAACCCAACCTGGTTTTTATTGGAAATCTGTATATGCCCTAGCTAATAGATTAAATGTACATACTCCGGGCATCGTGATAAACGGAAAGGTTCTTGATGTCCTCTCTGATGAAAAATACTCCTTTGTCACATAAAAAAAATGGCATGCAACGCTGTAATTAGATCGCATACATTTACCCTTCAGCGCTTTGCGTTCAGTTACTGTCACCATATCATTGCTAGTCACAATGCTGATCTTTTCAATAGAAAAGAGGGTTAATTCGAATGCTGCCATTGTAACTCTTCGACTTTAGAAATATACCATTGCAATTCGTGATATTATAAATATGCCATTGTAATTCTCGTGAAACGTGATTCATGCCATTAAGTACGTTTGCAACGACCTATGGCCCACCTTGCAGGCGTACGTATACGGAAACATTTTTCGTATGGCCCGTATTGCCTTGCCTCATCCGACTTACATGAGGAGTCAAGGTCGCTCGCGGCTCGCTTTGCTCTCTTTCTCGGTCTTTCTCTCGTCTCTTCTCTCCCCGTCCCCGAACCCTAACCCAGCAACCAGAGTCGGTGGCGGCGCAGGCGAGTCGGCTCGACGGCGGCGGCGGTGCAGGCTGTGCAGGCTCGACGGAGGCTGTGCAACCTGTGCAGGCGGCGATTCATGCCTGGAGCAGGTGGTGGTGGTGGTGAAGGAGATTTGATTCCCCAAGTCTGCACATCGATTGGAGTCCATGGTCGTGGCTTGAGCAAGATGATAGACTTCCCCGCGACCGGCGAGCCGTGTGGGAGCAGTTCGTCGGCCATGGCTGGCAACAAGGCCAGGTAATCTCTTAACTCTTGCAAAAATCTTCCCTCGGTATGACTAGAGTAGTTGGGGATCAGGGGCGGATCTACCAATCTCTGTATTTGCAAGTACATGAACATACGAAGAAGACAGAGGGTCGTGCGAGGTACCGCTGCTGGGCTATTGGGCAGCATCTACGCTTTGCGAGATGAGAGAGCCAGCTAGTAGATGATGTTTTAAGCTTTGATTTACACCATTTAAAAATGTTAGTTGTAGACTTGAAGAGATATTGTGTTTATAATCTCTGCAATAAACATCTTTTATGACTCATTGCTTTTTGTTTGACATGATTTTTATAAACATCTTTGATTTACCAAAGAAAGCTTTCAAGATATTTTGCTAAAAAAACAAAGCTTTCAAGATATTTCAGCATAAGCTATTTACCTGTATAGGTTGTCAGTGTTGTGGCTCATGCATATATGATGCCATTGTCAGGGAAGTTCCTAGCGACGGAAGCTTCTAGAGCCTGCTGGTACTTTCTAGCTAGCAGTACCCTTCCCCCATGGCCAGCAGCCAGCGTCTCAAGGATGTTCTGCACGTCTACCTTGACCCCATCGATCCCAGCAGATGCAAGATACGAGTGGAGTTCATTGTAGAAACTGAATACTTTCTCAGGGTTCACAAGGCCCAGTCCATTGGTCGTTATGCTGTCCAAAGCATCACAGGGCTCGTTTTTCCGAACCCCTGGTGATGACACAGGCTGCTGCATCTTTGATTCGTAGTGCTCCATTCCAGCTACACCTGGCCTGACTCCACCCCAGTATCCAGTAATGGCATGCCATACATACACATACCTGAGTTGTTTGACACAGCATGTCAGAGAGATGACTTTCGAATTTTTTTTGTCATCTGTAATAAATGAATAAGAACAACTTATCCAATATAATGGTGTCATACTTTAGCTCATGTTTCCCTTTGATTTCATTGACGATGTGTGCTAGGCCCTTTGCTGGATCATCTTCCCTGTGACCCTCTCTGCCATTTTTCTGAAACTTGTGGTTCTCCTTAATGTGAGTCAACCTGTTTACAAAGCTAATATACATAATAGGGAAAGTTTAGAATCTGAACTGATTCTCTACATTTTGTACATAAATCAAGTAGTATGACTGGCAAAGTGTACTATGTTTAGACTGCTTGATTTTTGTTTGACATGATTTTTACATTATTTACATAAGTTAAAGTTGATCTAATGATTTCAAAATTATCTATTGTTCCCTCATTATAAAGATTTTTTATACATTTCCATTTTCTACCAACTTTCAAAATTTTCTATTGATCGGCCACTGTTGGGGATGGACCCATTTTTGCTGTGGGATTTCCCCTTTACATTTCCATTCTTCGTGCTAGGCCTGAGTTGTTCATGCTAGAGATTAAAGTTCAAGGCTTAAAGGGATTTCTGATTAAGTGGGAGGTGGACATAGGTGCTTTAACCGTAGACTTGTTGATGAATGTTTTAGCCAAAGAGGTGCAATGGTCATCTCGCCAGTGTGGCAGATTGTGGTTCTTTGACAAGAATTTGGGAGAAGATGTCAGATTAGTGAATAACAAACAGTTGCTAGATATGTTTTCTATGTATAAGGCTGAGATGTGTTGCCAGGTCTTGCTAGGTGTATTTGATAATTCAGTATCTACTGTTGATGACTATGTTGAGCTAGAACCTCTGTGTGTTATTCCTCCTGATGATGACCAACTTAGCCAAGTGAATCCACCACAAAAGCCAGAGGCCCCTGAACCCAAAAAACACAATATAGAGGCTCTTGAACCCACAAAAAACATGCCAGAACCTACTGAAGCTACAACAAAGGAGCCAGACTTTGAGCCTGCTAGGGAGCCAGACATGTTTGATAATGAAGAGGAGTACGTGGGCGTTGATGATGAACACATCTATATCTCATTACCACCTGCACAGCCAACCACAAATGCCACTGCAACACAACCAGTTGATGACAATTCTGATTATATTCCTGCTGAAGGAGGTGTTCCTCTTGAGGCAGAAGTTAATAACGCAGATCCTCAGGAGATAAATGTCCTTCATGATCCAGAAAATTCCAACATTGTGAAAGGTGCCTTGTTTCCTGATATCATAGCATTCAGGAAAGCTGTGAGGCACTATGCTGTGATCACTGGATTTGAATTTGCTGATGTGAAGACTGACAAGACTAGGTTCATTGCCAAGTGCAAAGCTGAGGGCTGCCCATGGAGAATACATGCGTCAAGGATTTATGATGGCAAAACAATAGAGGTACAACCTGTGTATTCTTATTTTTCTATTGTAAACTATTTTTGGTACACTTTTGTAACATATATTCAATTTTGTTGTAGATTAAAGTATTGTCTGCTGAGCATAACTGTCCTACTACAAAGCTGAGAGAAGAAAAAATGGCAACACAAGACTGGTGTGCTAGCAAGTTGACAGAATGGCTCAAGAAAAATCCAAACAAAGGTGCCAAGGATGCTAGGGACAAACTGGAAGATGATTATGGGATCAAGTTGAAGTATTCTAAGGCATGGGTAGGTATGAAGCTAGCTCTTCAGCACATACATGGTAAATATGAGGAAAGTTTTCAATTGTTGGTGAACTGGAAAGCACAAATGGAGCTTAGTTCACCAGAAAGCATTGTAGAAATAGAGGTAGAAGGGAATAAGAAGAAGAGGTTCAAAAGGATTTTTGTAGCCTTAAAACCTTGTGTAGATGGATTTTTGGCAGGTTGCAGACCATTTGTAGGGGTAGATGCCACATGCTTAAATGGTAAATACACTGGGCAGTTGGCTTTAGCTACTGTTGTAGATGGGCATAACTGGTTGTATCATCTGGCTTACGCCATTTTTGACTCAGAGAAAGAGGACAATTGGAAATGGTTTATGGAGCAGTTGCATAAAGCTATAGGATCACCTGAAGGCCTAATGATCTATACAGATGCTTGTAAAGGTTTAGGAAGTGCAGTGGGAGCAGTGTTCCCGCAAGCTGAGTACAGAGAATGCATGAGGCACTTGTATTCAAATTTCAGGAGATGTCTTCACTGATCATTTGTATCCAGCAGCAAGAAGCTACACAGAGGGGCTGTTCAAGTGGCACATGCAGAAGATATTTGATGTTGCACCAGATGCCATAGAATTCCTGGAGCAGCATCACAACAGACTGTGGTACAGATGTGGGTTTTCAGAGAAGAGTAAATGTGACTACTTGACCAACAATGTATCTGAGAGCTTTAATGCTCAGATCAGGCACATGAAAGGACTGTTGCTGCACGAATTGGTTGATGGCCTGAGAGAGCTCATTATGGAGAAGAGGTTTTTGAGGAGGAAGATTGCTAGGGAAATGCGTGATGGTATACTCCCTAATGTCATGAAGGAGTTGAATGCTATCAGCAATAATCTCAAAGTGGTTAAGGTATCAAGTAGTGATGAAGATGTGGCTAAAGTGACACTTCTGGACAACTGGAACAATCAAAGGAGACACATAGTTGATCTCCAACATCATTCATGTTTATGCAGAGAGTGGCAGCTCACAGGCAAGCCCTGCAAGCATGCATTAGCTTGGATACTGTCCAATAGGGGAATGAAAATAGAAGACTATGTGTATGAATATTATTATGTACCAAGATTTAGGGCTGCTTATGAAGGAAGAGTAGAGCCTTTTCCAGACAGAACACAGTGGCCTGTGGTGGATCTTGGGTTCACAATATTTCCACCCTTGCTAGGAAGACCACCAGGCAGACCAAGAGTATAGAGAATTAGGGGCTGCCTTGAAGGGAAAGCGAACAAAAAAAAGGTGAAGTGCAAAAGGTGTGGTGACTTCGGTCACTTTGCCAAGACTTGCAAATTTGCTGAGGTTGACTCCGATGGAGAAATTGAGGGCAGATCACAGAACAAGAGGTTAGTGACTCATTCTCAAAGCATTTCTTGTGCATTCTGTACTGAACCTAGTGCTAACCACTATACTATGCAGGAAACAGCAATAAGATGATGACACTGCTGGGCCGTCAGAGGTGAAAAAGAAGAAGGCAGCACAAAAGAAGAAAAAGAGTCCCAAAAGGAAGAAGACGCCCAAGAAGAAGAAGACTCCAGTGAAGAAAAAGCAACAGAAGACTGCCGCCGCACCACAGTCTAGAGTTGTCACGAGCTTGTCACAGTTCCTTAATACCCAACTCACTGCTCAAGTCACTGATTCCTGAATCTTAATGTCGAGTGCTTTTGATGATTGCTGTGTGTAATCAGGCTGTGATTGTGAACCTGTAATCAGGCCGTGCTTTTGAACTAGAAATCAGGCCGTGCTTTTGAATTTTATTAATCAGGCCGTGCTTTGTTCAGTTAAAGTCATGTGAACTTGTATCCATTTAAAGTCATGTAAACTTTGTATTCAGTTAAAGTCCTGTGAACTTGTAGTCAGTTAAAGTCCAGGCACTAGTCTGTGAACTTGTTATCAACTTATCTGTGACCTTTTATGGCATATGCTTTGTTCAGTGTGTTCAACTTGTTATCAAATTATCAGAAGTTTTCGACTTGTTATCAAATTATCTGTGACTTTTTTATGGCATATGCTTTGTTCAGACGGGTCAGCTGGGCAATCCAATGCAACATACAGGTCAGCTGGACAGCTGGGCACGGTACCGCCCAAGGAGCGGATGCTGCAGGCAATGCAACGTGCGGCGGAGGTGCTGCAGCGACTAGACAGGGGCAAGACGGGCCATACTAAACATGTTGCCGTATACGAACGCCTGAAAGCCTACTTAATGGTATGAACCACGTTTCACGGGAATTACAATGGCATATTTACAATATCACGAATTGCAATGATATATTTCTAAACTCTAAGAGTTACAATGACAACGTTTGAATTAACCCTAGAAAAGAAGACCTCAAACGTCACGTACTGATTAAGTGCTGAATAAAATGCTAAGATCATGATCCAGAATTAAAAAAAACGAGAAGTGAAATAGGGGCGCGGATCGGAATGAATCCTCTGATAATGTTCTCCCGGGCTAGATGCGGGGTTGATTACATTCTTGAAATTTTGAAGAGCTCTCTTCTCTCTTCTCCTTACGTGGATATCCATGCATGCGCGCACGTTCTCTCTCTCTCTGCCCCATCCCGATGCCTTGATGCCTGATTTGATGGTGAACGCTAGCTGCTGTATCTGTAACGATGGAAAGCATCACCAGGCGTTGAACCTGGACGCCTTGTTTGTCGATGGAGTTTGTGAATTCTTCAGATCAGCTATATATTCGAGATAGTACACCTTTATCTTCTTTGTCAACTACTTTATGTACATTGAACCTGGACAGGGTTTTTAATGTTACAGGAAGCTTTTTAGTAATTCCTTAAAAGCATTACCTCGAGTTGACACAAAACATACCAGAGAAGTATACTTCTGACGAAACAATAACCAATACATTTTAGGGAATATCAGTTCATAAACAAAATGTCACCATGTATCTGAGAGAAGATATCCTTAACCACATGCATCAACTGTTATAAGACTTTTCTGTAACCATATCCTGTGAAACCGGCTTTGACCTAATAGCCTAGGTATCTGGCCAGTACTTAACCAAGTTGATTTTTTTTTTCCTTTTGGAAACAATATCATTCCCGCTATACCATAGTGACCAACGAGCTGCCACTGCTCCTAGCAAAATTAGTTGATAAAACCCCTTAGCCATCTCCCAAACATTTGTGATACATTGTGAGATTTTGTTAGACCCATCACCACTTGAATAAATAAATTGACCAAACATCCCACCACTACTACAGGAAGTTTCTGTACAGACGCTAGGAAGTCTCCATAGAGATGGCTAGTTCCACCACCTCTACTTTTTTGTTTCTACAAATCGACGATTTGTAGAGGGAGCTAAAAACATCGGTCGCCACCGGAAATCATAAATTTGGCCAAAAAATAGCAAAAAAAATTAAGCCATAGAGACCCCACCAGGCACACCATCACAAGTCTCAAGTCGGGCGATTTTCACGCGCGTGAGGCTATGGCGTTCGAACTAGTAACTTCATGCCATACGTGTAGCTATCATCACCACTCCACCCAAAGCCACTTCTGACTAAAATGCACGAATATTGCCCTCGTATTCACTTTACCCAATTTTAAAATGAATATTTGAGACTCTACCTGAACTCAATTGAAAAAGTTGTCAACTTTAAAGTTATATAGTCGAGTACTACAATTTTGGTTTTGTTTGTTTCTCCCTCCATGGTCACAATAAAATGAATTTTAAATGTGAGAAATTCAAACATAATTTTCCTTGATAAATATTTCAATTGAAAAAGTTGTCAACTACAAAGTTGCCTACCTCTATGAGATTTATAACTTTTGTTTTTGTTGTTTCCCCATTTGAGGTTATTTTTAAAATTTTGAGTTTTAATATGTGAGGACTTCAAACTAAATTTTGGGACCATATAATATTTCAAACAAAAAGTTCTCGATTGCAATGTTTTACACTATTTCAATACATATAACTTTGGTTTGGGTTGTTTCTCCATTCGAGATCATTTGGAAAATTAAAAAAATGAATTTCAAAATATGAGAACTTAAAACAAAATTTATGGGATTTTCAGTCAAATGAAAAGGTTATCAACTACAAAGTGGTATATCTCTTTGAGTTATACAATTTTATATAAAGTTCATCTTCATCTGACTTTGTTTGAAAAAATAATAAATTTTAATATATTACACCTATTTTTAGAGACGACTCTAGATTTAACCGCGTTTAGAAATTGATTTTAGTGGCAACTCTAGATCTAGCCGTCTCTAGAAGTTAGATTTTAGAGGCGGCTGGAGATCTAGAGCCGACTTTAAAAATAGATTTTTAGAGATGGCTGGTTTAGTGGGGCCTGACGGAAGGCTCTATAGCGGTGGCTAGGAATTCAGCCGCCTCTGCCAAAAAGACTACATTGCTACAAATCATTCTTATAATAATGCCGGCAAACTAGGAGTTGAAGCAAATGCCTCTCTTCTATGTAAGAAAAGCAAAAGTTTTTTCTACCTTGCTAGATTATTCTTTGTAAACACGACTCCTCGTTGAAAATACTATAAATTTTATATCATGATTTTTAAAGGGGGCATTATTTTTTTCCATTTGAGTTTGTCAAGATCGGGAATATCAACAAGTATGAATGCTTGTTGGTGTGGTTTGACAAATAATATATCGGAAATGCTGGGTCAGGGCGTCCGATGCGGACGCTCCAACTACCCTCTGCGCCACCGTTGCCGCACCCACCCGCCCTTTGTGCCACCGCCGCCCATGCCGTCGCCACCCCACCTTCTATGCGCCGCTGTGAAAGCATCTAACAATGCCTAGAGAGGGGTGAATAGACATATCTAAAAATTTCTACACAAACTCAAATAACAAAGTTAGCAACTATCGGAAGTCCCGACAATTTGAGTCAGAACTTCCGGTAGCCGGAAGTTCTGACGCAAACAGCCGGCAGTTCCAACTCCTACGTAAACTACGCAACAAGTACTAAAAATAAACTTTGTGAACGAGATTTCTTGCAAACCCACTTCCAAGTGGCTAGGTAGATACGTAGAGTCACTCCCTTGATCCCAAAACGCTTCCACTCCGTAGATCAAGTCCAAACCCTAAGAGAATCTTTTAGGGGGAAGAGAAACAACCAAGAACAAATATGATAGCACAAATCATAACAACAAGCACGCGGAACACAAGGATTTATCTCAACGTTCGGCAACCCCGTGAAGGAGCTCCTACATCCTCATTGTTGAGGTGACCACAAAGGTCAAAGTCTCTTCCACCTCCTTGCCTCTCTCAAGGAAACCACAAAGGTTACTTGAGCTTTCCACTAAGAAATCAAGGATAAT